ACAGACCTCACTGCTTTTGTCATGTAAATGCACCTAGTTAGCATCAGAACAACTTGTTTTACACAACAAACGCAGTGAGGTGTGTATCAAAACAAGGTCAACTCTAGCCTCGCTGCCACCCAAAGGTCAGGTCACAGAGCAGACAACTGTAAAATGGTCTATTGCCACAGAAAGCAAAACGTCTTCAGGTTTCCTTCGAGTTACATGTAATTTTGTACGTGGACCAGTGACTGAGTTCCTTTAAGCCTTTTTTGTCCTATTTAAATGTAGGTGGCAGTTGAATTGCCAAAGAAAACAAAACGTCACCACAATGTATTGATTATTCAGATCTAAAGTCCCGTCTTGAAGCCTTAAGAAAGTTCTTTACGGAGGAAAGGATTCTATGACGATGCTCTCATGGCCACTAGCTATCATTTGTGCAACCTTTTGATCTTGCGACTACTGCATCGGCCNGACGCATAAAAACAACTGACGTCAATTTGTTAAGTAGGTGGCATTAAAGTTGAATTGCCAAAGAAAGCAAAACGTTTTCAGGTTTCCTTCGAGTTACATGTAATTTTGTACGCGGTTTAAATAACTCAAAATGCCGTGACCGAGCTCCTTTAAGCCTTTTTTGTCCAATTTAAATGTAGGTGGCATTAAAGTTGAATTGCCAAAGAAAACAAAACGTCACCACAATGTATTGGTTATTTAGATCTAAAGTCCCGTCTTGAAGCCTTAAAAAAGTTCTTTACGGAGGAAAGGATTCCATGACGATGCTCTCATGGCCACTAGCTATCATTTGTGCAACCTTTTGATCTTGCGACTACTGCATCGGCCCAGTCCGTACTGAAAGATGTCGATGCATTTTTTTCCACTTTGATTACATTTTCTGCATTTAAAAATGAATACGGTCGTTTGTTTAGAATTTGTCTTTTCCCCTAGAATTTTGTAAAGTTTTAATTCAATTTTTGGGTATCCTGGTTTAACGAACATACTTTATGTCATGACATGAGAGGTAACTGATACGGAGGTATCAAAGAGTTCCTCGAGTACAAGGAGACCCAAGAATCTAATGATTTCAAGTACATGGATGGGATGCTAGTCCATCGCAGGGTTGCCCCCCAGCATTAAATTCGCCGGTACTCATTTATACACCTGGGTGAAGAGAAGCAGTGTCCGAGGAAAGTTTCTTGCCCAAGAACAGATGACAGTGTCCCCGGCCAGGGATCGAACCCGGACTGCTCGATCCGGGGTCGAGTGTACTAGACATGACGCCACCGCGCCTCCACAATAATAGTTAGTAATAATTAACTTTAATAGTGACACACCTTCAGTTTACACTTGGTAAGTTTGCCAATGTTACCAATAGGACAGATTACAGCATAATATCGTTCAGCGGCAATTGCAACCAAAGTTACTACCGAGGAGGTTCCAGCAACCCATGCGAGGTTTCCACCCGTTATGAATTTACATAAAACAGTACCCGTCATTCCGCCTGGGTGGGTGGAAGCGAGCTTAAGGAAAGTGTCTGGTGTTACAAACGTAGCGTATAGAATATCCGCCACAGCCAGGTTAACAAGCAGGTAGTTGATTGGAGTCCTGTGAAATATCAAACAATGTCAAGATCTAAGAAGATGAAGGGAAAGAGATTTAACGCCTCATATTGGCCTTTTCCCAAGGTAATGATTCAGATATCTGATCCTTAATTCAAATATTCACTTGCATTTCTTCACCATTTACGGGTATGTTATAAACTTTCAATGTGACTGGCTCCAAGTTGCCTTGAAAGGTTAGTTGGTAGAGCACTGCACTGGTATCACATAGGTCATGGTTCGATTGCCATTCAAGCATATAATTTTATCTTTTTTCTCTGTGGGAATGGAAAGGGAGATTTAAATTCGCGACTACCTTAGACGCGTGGATAATTCAGTGCGATTATTGCAGCTTATAATTACGTAGACCTGTATGATTCTCTTTTGAGTTGTCTCAATCTTCCTATCTTGTTTGCTGCCAGACAAAATATCTTACATGCTAGCCCTTTTTTTTTTTTATTTCTTGAATATATACTTGCAGTGTGAAACGTCATCAGCGTCTCAAAATGGCGGTGATATTTTAGTGTCCACATACCTCATATCTTGATTTTTCTTTATGATAGCACAGACGAGACAATTTCCTACGATATCTATGATAACGAGTACGGAGTGCACCGTCGCTATGGCAATGCCAGATGATTGGAGCATGACTAGAGATTGTTGACGATGTTACACGGTCTCTCGGCCTGCTGGATAAGATGAAACTATAAGGATTAATTGGTGAATTCTTGATTGTTAAGAGTCCCTGTCCATAAAAATGGAAAATAACTCGGCAAGGGTCGAAGATTCAATTTCGCTCATATTTTCATTGTAGATAGGCAAGAGCGTGACAAAAACTATTGGATATTTTTTTTTGGCAAAATATCCTTTTATTTCAAAGAAATATGCAAATTACCAAATTCCGTTAAAATCGTCATTTGACGCACCATTTAATTAAGCAAGTTTAAGAGCCTTGCATGCAAAACCACATCATTCTTGCATCTTAAAAACACTCAAATATTTTTGTGCAGTGTTTAAAAGGTACTGGGTTGATTTTAGGGAATGTTGCGTTGTCTTTTTGGGTGCAAAATAATTAAATTTCGAAGACATGNCTTCCTATCTTGTTTGCTGACAGACAAAATATCTTACATGCTAGCCTTTTTTTTATTTCTTGAATATATACTTGCAGTGTGAAACGTCATCAGCGTCTCAAAATGGCAGTGATATTTTAATGTCCACATACCTAATATCTTGATTTTTCTTTATGATAGCACAGACGAGACAGTTTCCTAAGATATCTATGAAAACGAGTACGGAGTGCACCGTCGCTATGGCAATGCCAGATGATTGGAGCATGACTAGAGATTGTTGACGATGTTACACGGTCACTCAGCCTGCTGGATAAGATGAAACTATAAGGATGAATTGGTGAATTCTTGATTATTAAGAGTCCCTGTCCATAAAAAGGGAAAATAACTCGGCAAGGGTCGAAGATTCGATTTCGCTCATATTTTCATGGTAGATAGGCAAGGGCATGACAAAAACTACTGGATATTTTGTTTTTGGCAAAATATCCTTTTATTTTAAAGAAATATGCAAATTACCAAACTCCGTTAAAATCGTCATTTGACGTACCATTTTATTAAGCAAGTCTGAGAGCCTCGCATGCAAAACCACATCATTCTTCCGTCTTTAAAACACTCAAATATTTTTGTGCAACGTTTAAATATGTACTGGGTTGATTTTAGGGAATGTTGCGTTGTCTTTTTGGGTGCAAATAATTAAATTTCGAAGACGTGTATTTCATTCACTTAAAAATACTTCGTGAATATAATTCATTTTCACCATGTGCGAGACTTCAAATGGATTAAACTTCCGGTGGTTAAATTGCAGAAGGATGGTCTACAGATTCCCGTAAAAATTTTATTTGGGCAAATGATTGTGAGCGATGCGAGAGCTTTTCAAAGTACGTCAAAAATGCAAATATTTGACCATCCGTCGCCAAATTT